CATCATCATCATCATCATCATCATCATCATCATCATCATCATCATCATCATCAGAGTAGTAGTAGTATATATATATATGACATTTATATTGTGCTCAACTGCGATAAAGAACACATGCTATAAGTGCTTTACAACTTTACAAATACAAAAATACAAGTACTATAGCAGCAAAACAAAAAAGCATTTCATGTTCTTTACTGAGAAATCGAATTATATTTATATGATATATCACTTACTTTAAGCTAAACACAGACACGACTTAAACATAAAACATTGTATCCAATTCGTTTCGACCACCACTTTCAGTTCCAAAACGTGCCTGGACAAGTTGACATCACTGCTACTGGCTCTGGAATGGCCTTGGTGGAGGTAAGTGGTGGTGTGTTGTGTTGCAGAAATTGTAGTTTGAGTGTGGATAAAGAGGGGCATATCACGAACTCGATAACGGCCATTTAGTGCATGGAAAGGGCGAAATAGACCGATAAAAACGATAATGGGGGGGAGACGTAGGATTACCAACGGCACCCTCTGGCCACTCGTAAGATGACAATGTGGTGATGTATTGAAAATCTCTTTTCTTTGTGGTCTGTTGAAAACTGGCGACTGATCTGTGGCAGTTCTCCGCTTCACCATCGTACGCTGGAGACCCGAGTTCGGTTCCCGTGTGGGAAGTATTTTTATCGAGTATCCTGGTCTTTTTGCTGGGGCTTTGTATTCCTTTCAGTCCAGTTTGCCCTAGGCAGGCAGGGCCGAAGCCTGCTTCCTAATTTATCTAAATTGTGTCGATGGCAATGTAAAAAAAAACCTCCATTTAAAAAGGCGGTTGGAGTCATTGTATGATCGTGTATGGGCATTGTTTCTCCAACTGTGTAGTCAGCCAGTATACCTGTACAGTGAAGGTGATATTGCAATCTATTGTATGTGCTGTTTGTTGATGATACTTAAGTTGTTAAGAATGTTGAAATTATTTGATATTGAAATCTGTTAAAAAGTGTTGCAATGCAGCGGTCTCAAACTCAAATTACCTGGGGGCTGGTGGAGATAAAGTCTGGGTGAGCCTGGACCCACAATGCAGCGGCATGTTGAAAAAAATATTTTGCTGTCCCATTTTAATGTCAAAGTTTAGTTTTAGTGTGGCCAAAATGTAGCTGAGCTATGTGTAAGAGGCAGAACTGCCAAGTCTGTGGCAGCAAGTAATAGACAAAAAAGAGAAGTCTTGTCCTAAAGGAAGACCCGTTCATAAACTGATATCAACAAAGATTTTAGAAGATTAGATCAGTCGTGCTATTTTCTCTCTTTTTTTTTCAAATACTTAAAACTTTCTAGTGGAATACATGAGCCACATTTGGGCTGCACTAACACTAAACCTTGATGTCAAGAAGAGACGGCGAAATTTCGTTCTGCAGGGCTCATTTGGCCTGCGGGCAGCGAATTTGAGAAACCTGTTGTGATGTGGTTCAGAAGTTGTAGTATGTCGTATAGGAATTCTGTCAAAGATGCAATAGCTTATTGGAGATATTACCCATTAAACATGTTGTGAAGCGTTAAAAATGTGTATGGTCTGTGTGTTTCTTTTAGGTTTATAATCAGCCCATAACCTGCTCAAGAAGGCCACCCATTTTCGAGGGAAAAGTGGTTGTCTTAGATAAATTGGCGTCTGGGACAGTAGATCTATCATGATGGCAGAAAAAACGCAAAATTGATGGTTGGGGGGGGGGAGGGAGAGATAAGTGGTCGTTTGTACAGGTAATGTCTTGGATAGGTGGGCGGTAGAGCAGGTCCAAATATATAATATACCGAATGGGGGACAATAGGGCATACTGTTTATCTTTGGCCCTCGTCCAGAAAAAGCGCTTTCTGACACAACAGGCTTTTTCCAATATTCGAACTTCTGCTTTTTTCCCTTTAGAACACGAGCGGGATTTTTATTCCGGACCACTTTAAGCTATTTAGTCTCAAAACGAGCTGAAACTACTGATTGTTACCTTTCTCCTATGCTGTTGTCACTTCAACAGCTTTCAGGTCGTGAAGCAGACAATTACCCATTTCTACACTTTTCCTTTTTTGATGTATTATAATTATAGTAATATGTTTTTGCACAAAGCTCTTTTGATTCTCTACAGTGTCTACTACATGAGAGTATAATAAAAGGTGCTCTTTTTATGTGGATGTTTTTACGCCTCCATTGACACAATTTAAATGAGAGGGGGTGGGGGAGGGGAGTTCAACCTTGCCTATCGGGGCCAACCCTGCCAGGAAGGGATACAACATCACAGCCGCATCAGTCAAAACAGAGACGCTCGATAAAAAAATTTCTTTCTCGGGAATCGAACGCGAGTCTCTGGTGTGCGATGACAAATCATTCTAGCTAATACACAACAGACGCTAGTCTAAAATAGTTCGGAGTGAAGAATGTTGATCAATTGTCCATAAGAAATATCATTTTCTCTCGTTTCCAGGTTGACTACAGATTCAACGTTGATTCTGAGCTGAGCACTCCTTCTTTCGACGTGAGCACAGTGCTTCTGGACGATCAACTCAACCAGTTCAACCTTATGGTCTGCACCAAGTACGTCCTTACATATATACACAAACGTGTGCGTGCACACGCGCACACGCATGCAGTCACCACACACACACACACACACACACACACACACACAAACACACACTCGCACTCGCACTCACAAGCACG